ACTAACCTTCCTTCTATAATTCCCAGCTTAATTGACAGCAACCGAAGTGCCACTGGATTAGAACCATCTGCAGCCACCATCCCACCGCACCTATCGGACGCCTATCGGCAAAAGTCCCTTATAAGGCCACGCTATCCCGTTCCATGGCGACATTCAACGTCCGCACTCTAAGACAAACAGGTCAACAGGCTGCACTCGCACGCACCTTGGACACACTGGGTGTTGATGTGTGTTGTGTGTCCGAAACTAGGATCAATGACCCTAACGGGGTTATTGAATTAACTGCACCCGGCTTATCTGCACGTTATTGGTTGCACGCATCCGGAGACGCCGATGCAGCACTCACGGGTCAAGCTGGTGTAGGTATCATTCTAAGCTCCAAGGCTGAGCCATCGCTGGTTGATTGGATTCCGGTGAACAGCCGTTTATGTGCAGCCCGTTTGACGACATCAGCTAAGGTGAATTCGCGAAGTAAAACAAAACGCTGTTTGTTTGTGATTTCTGCTTATGCTCCCACCGACTGCAGTTCTAATGCACTCAAGGACACTTTCTATCACGAACTGAACACGCTGCTACGCAGTGCCACTAGTTCAGATATTATAGTACTTGCAGGGGATATGAACGCACAAGTAGGGCGTCTGAGCTCTTCAGAAGCTCAGCTGGGTGGTAAGTATGGGCTTAACGCCGAACGGACTGACAACGGTGAGCGTCTGCGGCAACTGTGTGCCGCGCACCAGTTGTTTCTTAGTAGCACTGCTTTTAGACACTGTGGGCGCCGATGTGCCACTTGGCATCCACCTGTAGCTGGCCAGCGATGGACCCAAATTGACCACATAGCCATAAGTTACAGATGGCGTGGTTCCATCTTAGATTGCCGCTCGTACTGGAGTACCTGAGTCGACTCTGATCATGCCTTGGTACGCTGTCGTTTTTCCATGAACTTTACCGGGAGGCGCACCTAGTGTCCCCTACGTTTAGCATCGGAGAAATTGTCCCAGCCCTCGGTCAGGCAAGCCTATCAAGAAGCGCAGCGTATCGAACATCCGCTGTCTTGTCATAATGACACTGAACTTCAGTGGAATAGGATCTCGACCGCCATGCACGACGCAGTAGCATCCGTTTGTGGCACTATTAATCGTCACCGCACCAGTCACAGGATACCCGAGAGGTCGGTGAACCTATTGACATTTAGAGGAAACATTCCGGTTGGTTCTGAGCACAATGTGACCAGACGGGCTAGTAGGCGTGAACTAAAGCGGAGCCTACGTGCTGACAAGGAAGCCTAGTGGACCAGTAGAACTCAAGAAATGGAGGAGGCAGGAGCAGTAGGCAATTACCGCAAGCTCTTCCAGCTAAAACGCACCACTAGTCCCAGGAAAATCAGGCGTCAGTGAGACAATCAGAGACAGCGCGGGTGCGCTGATACACAATAAGGAGCGCCGTATGGCTCGTTGGGCGAAACACTTTCAAGATCAGTTCAGCTGGCCCCCTGCTCCCGGACCTCTTCCTACTCAGGTGATGCAGGACGAGCCATGGACGGTTAGTTTAGAGCTTCCGTCAGAGGCCGAGGTCCGAGACGCGATCACAGCCCTTAATCGTTTTCGTGCCGCTGGCCCGGATTCCCTACCACCTGCACTATTTAAGGATGGAGGTGAGGTCCTCTGCAAAGCACTGACCTCCCTATTCGAACGTATCTGGAACGAAGAGAGTGTGCCGGCTAATTGGAGCGAATCGATTATAGTGGCAATATACAAGAAGGGCAGTCGCACAGACTGTGCGAACCACAGGGGCATAAGCCTAACGCCAGTTGTGACAAAATTACTGGCCTCGATTATCGTTCGTCGCCTCACTGCAGAACGGGAATCTCGGATTAGAGAAGAGCAGACCGGTTTTCGCCTAGGACGTGGCTGTATAGACCATATATTCACTTTGCGACAGGTGCTAGAGCAGCGCCACGCATACCGCAGACCGACAATAGCTGTGTTCCTCGATTTCAAGAGTGCGTTCGATTCAGTCGATCGATCGATTCTGTTCGAAATACTTGCGCGGAAAGGTGTTCCCACGAAATATGTGAACATCCTTCGTGCTCTATACTCGAACACTAGAGGCCGCGTCAGGGTCTACGGTGCCCTATCGGCTAGCTTTTCGACTACAAGTGACGTTCGACAGGGTTGCCCGATTTCACCAATTTTTGTTCAATTTCGTCGTGGATTCTATCATGGAGTGTTCCCTTGCAGAATCTCACGATGTAGGTGTTGAAGTGCTGCCCGGTGAACGGTTAGTTGATCTAGATTATGCGGACGATATCGTCTTGCTTTTCGACAATGTTGAGGCGGCACAATCAACCCTGAATAGCCTATCCAGAGTGGTCCCATTATTTGGTATGCACTTCGCACCTTCAAAGTGCAAAGTGTTGCTGCAGGACCACCAGCCACTTGATGACCCCTTGACGCTTGCTAACGAGGAACTCGAGGTAATTGATCAATTCACTTATCTTGGCAGCTGCATCAGCAATGATGGGCGCATAAAAACTGACGTCAGCTCACGCATTGCAAAAGCCAGAGCTACCTTCTTGAATCTGCGGCAATTTTGGCGACAGAAGGGATTTTCCCTTCGCCTGGAAGGCCGTGTATACAAGGCCACAGTGAGGGCCGTTCTGCTCTATGGTGGTGAGACTTGGCCCCTTCGGTCTGAAGAGCTGAGGCGCCTTCAAGTCTTTGATCATCGTTGTTTGCGAAGCATTGCTGGTGTCGGATGGCACCAGCGCGTGCGCAACGATGATGTGCGTAGGCGAGTACTAGGTAGTGATAATCATGCTAGCTCGCTAGAACAACAGATAGCACTGAATAACTTGCGTTGGCTCGGGCACGTGCTACGTATGCCTGGTCACCGCTTACCTAGGAGGGCCTTGTTTAGTCTGCCAGGTGTAGGGTGGCCCAAGGTCCGAGGTGGACAGAAGCTGACTTGGCAGCGGGAAATGAAGTCAATGACTACCAAACTGGGTGCCGTTGGTCCGTCTCGCCTTCCGGGTTGGAGCCCACGTGACTCGGTTTGTGCTTGGCTCGAGACTTTACAGGACATGGCTCGCAACCGACACCAGTGGCACGTCTGCTGCCGTCTCCTAATTGGATTGCCTGTTTAATGTGTGTTTGGTGCTGAGTTATCTGCGGAGTAATGGCTGATTATGACGCGTGGCAGTGAAAGCCGCAAGGAAGCTGTCTCGCCGATGCCGCCTTGACTTTGCACGATAGCCAGCTGTTTGTGACGGTATGTTGTTAACACAAGGTGTAAGCGCCTTGACCCCGAATGTTTGCTTAGGGCATTAAGGTTTTCGGGTAATTTCCTCTTCTCTCCCTCTTATCCTTTATTTTATAGGTCCTCGTGGTTGTATGGCAGCAAAGCATCAGTTGAAATGGCTGATGTACTGCTGTTGATGAGTAGATGACTATGTTACATCACCCATCTGCCAAGTGTTTCAGGTCTCGGAAAGTTGGTTTTTATCAAACGAGTGGGACCGCAATAATTAATTACAAAGGGGGAAACCGCCATGAGCCTGTGAAATATCACCTAATCTGCTTGACATCCATTGTCTGCAAGGCCAAAGAAAAGATCATCAAATGCGTCCTACAGAAGTATTGCGACGAAAATAACATCGTTCATGCTGCACCAAGCTGCCAGTGATGAGGAAAAAGCGGGCCACGTCAACTGATGCGACACAACGCATGGATATGGTTTTCGTGGATTTTAGAAAAGCGGTCGATAAAATGCCACACCAGCGACTTCTCTGGAAGCTTATGGACATAGGCGCAAGTGGCAGCCTCCACTCGTGGATTGCCTACTTCTTGGAGGATGGGACTATGCAAGTGAGAGTGAACGAAACGCTTTTCAAGTCATCGCTCATGACCAGCGGTGTATCACAGGGATCTGTCTCTGGACTCGGACTGTTCGTGCTGTACATCAATTATCTTTCTGCAGCACCGAATGCGGGATCTATGACGACGACCTTAGGTTTGGTCTTGAGCGTCTGGCATTGACACAGCTGATCGACTACAACTAGTCCATCGAGTGGGGACTACTAATAAATTACGAAAAATGCTGCACCCTACCGATTGGGACCTCTAAGCCAATTGGAACTTACCATATTTGGGGGGTTCCTTCTCAAGCATGCCGTTCAAGAGAAAGATCTAAGCGTAACAATAGCACGATCTGAAAACCACCCAGGATACACTGAAGTCGCCGCTGCAAACAAAATGTGTTGCGCCATAAGATTCTTCTCTCGAATGACACCGCAGATCTTCAGGCTTCTGTTCACTTCTCAAGTGTGACCGATTCTAGGGCATGGTCGGGCAGCTGAATTCTTACGAAGCTTGAATGTGCCTTAATCGAAAAGGTCCAGAGGCGTGGCTCTAAATCCGTTCCCGGGCTTCGTGATATCCCGTGCTCCCTTCGGCTTCAGCCTATGAATCCGTTCTCCATGAAATAAAGTTGTGGAGACCTCATCTTTACGCAGCAATATTAAGAAATGCTACAACAGCTCTTCCAGTGCAACCTAGTTGGTTCGAGGCCACCGCTAGTCATTTAAATCGAGGTCGCAACGCAGACGCTTTTAACTTACGTAGTGAGTGACTGGAACCGTCAACCGGAGACTGTTGTCGATGCACCAACCGCGGAAAATTTTAAACGGCTTTTGGACACCCACCTACGTAAGACACCAGAACCGTACTGTCTTACTGCGACTGCTCCGGTTCTGTGAGCACTACTGGGTCGCGACGGCACACGTGCTCCTTGCGCTGAACTGAAGGTGATGGGGTTTCTGCTCTCCACAACGCAATGAAGTCAATCGTCGCTACCGGGCAAAACACCTAGACAGTCTGTGCAGTGGCTTAGCGAGTTTACTTATGGATAAAATAAAATGGCAAAGAAATTAAAAAGAAATTCAAGCCGGGACCGGTGAAAATACGTGAGTTACATTCAGCGACAAAACAATGTTAAAAGTTTACCTCAAATTCACCCAAGAACTGGGCAACGCCAGTATATGGCAGTTTCCGGTGATGGGCATGTTTTTCAATTGGAGGGAGAAACGGTATTGGGTCCCTCGGCGCGAAAAGCGCGAGCAAATTGGGCGGTAAAAACTGCGTCATCCGATCTGATCAAGCGGAGCGCGGCATGTGTCCATTTACCTGCATGTAGCTCATTTAAACAAAACTGTCTTATAGCATTGTTGTGAGTGAACAGTATATAAATAAAATTGTTTTATTTTTTATAGTTAGTAATAAGCTACTTACCTAAGACCATTTACTACATTTTCGTCACAGTTACCTCAGCTTTTGTTCCCTATTCCCATTGTCTGGATTATCACGCCGATTTGGGCAATGGTATGTAGCCATGCACCATCCAATCAAACTCTAGATTTCGTCTAGTACCGATTCGTACACGGTGGGGCTGACGCTTCGATATTTTCATGTGTAAATCAGATTCTGCACCCCTTCTAGGGTAATCATCTTAAAGGAATCACTTGATGTAAGATTCACAACTGATCACCATAACACTTCTGCATTTATTGTCTCCGAGCCACCTTTGCAATACTCCATCGTGTCAGTCATGTGTAAATATATGACAAATTCCTTTGAAAGCTGTGCCTTTTATGACACAACGGAATCGAAAATGTCGGATCAGCGGATTGTGATCAACGTTAGTGGGCTGCGTTATGAAACACAGAAGGCAACTTTAAATCGATTTCCAAATACTCTTCTGGGATGTCCTTTACGTCGGAACCGCTACTACGATGCGTTGCGCAATGAGTACTTTTTTGACCGCAACCGACCAAGCTTCGATGCAATCCTTTATTTTTACCAAAGTGGCGGTCGGCTAAGAAGACCGGTAAACGTACCGATTGATGTATTTACGGAAGAAATCAAATTTTATGATCTTGGCGAAGAAGCGTTTGAACGGTACCGAGAGGATGAGGGATTTATTAAGGACGAAATACACATACTACCGAAGAACAATTTCCAACGTAAAGTGTGGTTGCTGTTCGAATACCCTGAAAGCTCCGCCGCAGCCCGTTGCGTGGCTATTATTTCAATCACTGTCGTTCTCATATCAATTGTCGTCTTCTGTGTAGAAACCCTTCCTCATTTCCGTCATTATGAGATCCTGCGACCGGATGATGAACCGCTACCAGTAATCATGCCAGTGGATACCCCTCAAACCACTGGAACATTTTTTGTCCTAGAAACGCTTTGTATCATTTGGTATACCCTAGAACTACTGATTCGTTTTGCATCTTGTCCCCAAAAGCTGTATTTTTTTAAACAGATAATGAACTTGATCGACATAGTGTCCATCATCCCTTACGCCATCACCGTTGGTACGCTTTTTGCGGAAACTACGAAAACACAAAATCAAGCAATGTCACTTTCTATTTTAAGAGTGATTCGCTTAGTTCGAGTATTTCGAATTTTTAAGCTATCCCGACACTCAAAGGGACTTCAGGTTCTTGGAAGAACGCTGCGAGCCAGCTTTCGGGAGTTGGGACTGTTGTGCTTCTTTCTCTTTGTGTGTGTCGTGCTTTTTTCTGCTGCTGTTTACTTCGCTGAAGTGGATGCTGCAGATGAACAATTCCCTAGCATCATCGATGCATTCTGGTGGGCCGTAGTGACCATGACCACCGTTGGTTACGGTGATATGAGACCGGTTACGATGTGGGGAAAGGTCGTGGGATCTATGTGTGCTATTGCGGGTGTCTTAACCATAGCTCTACCAGTTCCTGTTATTGTATCAAATTTCAACTACTTTTACCACAGGGAATCGGAAGCGGAGGATAAAGCGGTGTATGTTCATGTGTCAAACAGCCACGGAGATTTGTGCGACTCAGATGGCACTCGTTCACACTTTAATCGTTCCAGTGAAGAAAGCACTTCTGGAAAGTTACTTTGTGTCTATATTAACAGACGAGCTTCGTTCCGCTTATCCGATAAGGAGAAAAACGCATTTGCTCTCATGGACAGACGAGCTTCAGAACCTCCAGTATCTGTTGAGAGGGAAGCTATGCATTCCGCTGCCGACAGCGATGAATGCAGTGAACTATGCCCACAGAAGCCCACATTCAAATCCAGTGAAAATGCAGCCTCCATTTCATATCGTCACCATCACCAAGAATTTCAGGAAATTATGCTGCAACACGAGCTACAGGCCCAACGCTTCAAGGACATTTATCCACAACAACAGGTAGTCACTTATCCAAAAAGGCCTTCCACACAGTACACGAATAATCCGTGTGCGGAATCTGAGGTTTTAGTTCTTCCGTAACACTGCGTATCAATTTCTACCGTGTGAATATCCACCAACTTCCTTCAAGTGACAGCTGGTCTCGAGCTTGAAAATGTAACTTTTCCACTACCATGAAGGACAATATTGATCCTTTCTACTAGTATCAAGTAAAAAATGGCTACATTTCTTTTACCGTGAAAGTTATAATCCATTTAATGTAGTTGTATCGTGTTTGGAAGTCTGGGTATTCCTTGTGTTAATGGACAACCACAAGCATGGGTCCAGGTACGATCTGAGCTGTTCTGGCGCGTTCTCTAAGTATGGAGAAGAAGCTGTTTGAACTTACTCATCAGAATTTGCAACGCTCAGTCTCAGCACTATCGTGAGTCTGTTGCTTGTTTCATTGACAACAAATTTTGGTTGCTCATATTTCTCACCCATCCATTTTAAGGTTGAAGACTGGGTAATGATTTGTATGGGTCGGCTTATTAGCTGCATACCAGCGCATATATGCTACCGAATGGGCAGCGGGTTTTCTAGGCGTCTCCAAGTAGCTAACGTATACGACGCACATAACGTGCAAATGCGATATGCACTGCTGCGTAACTTGCTTGTCGACTTCGGGAACAAGTTTGGCTATTCGCCTTAGGACCGAATGCACGAATCCGAACGGTGCGTCCTTGAGGATTGATGCATCATTCATCACATATCAGGGACGTAGGACACATGGAAAACACGTGGTACATTAGTCAGAAATAGAATAGGATGGGATAAGCTGGGTACCAGGTTTGTGTGAAGAGTCATCGCAACTAAACAACCACCACACATTCAGGCAATTGCTAGACGGAAGTATCGTCCTATTGGGGTGAAATGGCAATAGCACGCTACATCGGTATCCGATGCTCTGGTATGGCGTAAAATCCTAATGTTTGGATCACATGCTTATCATACCAACACCAGTGGGGTAGGAACAAGAGTAGGACAATGCAGCAAGTCTTAGTAGTGAACAAGTGGTATTGGGTTACACTCACAAAAACGCACTGGCAATTTTGGTCTTTCGTCTAGAATAAAACCAGCTTTTTTTAAAGGACAAGGGCTTAAGTGTTTTGAGATTATTTACAATGGTTTCCTAGACAGTGTAGAACACTCGTGGCGAACCGCCACGATATTTAAACATGCCTCACAAGACTCAGTGTTGTTTTATGCATAATGTTACGATTCCATTGGCTAAACACAGTCCTGAAATACAAAGAGGTACCATACACTATCGATGACACCATAAGCTATAGGAGGATATACGACAAGTGTTTTACAGCTGACACAGTGTTACCGTTTATGCTTTTCTGCAACGTGCTTTAAGTGGCCTTGGATCTAGGGCACCTTTTCGTATGGAATTTGTTCTCCTACGCTTAAATAGCTTACCGTGGTACGATCAGACCGGCTTTGTCAACGATTATTCCGCCGGATTCCATACCATAAAAGCCGAAGCACTGTGGTCATGTAAGTCGGTGACCAATCTAGCCGCGATGAAGTTGACAGCAGGAGTGGCCTCAAGTTGAAGGACAAGTACACTCACCAAAACAGTGTATTCTTTAGTTCCATAAGGTTCAAAGTTTCCGACGCACACTACTCGCTAGGCATTAAACTTGAACAGTGGTTGTCGAATACTGTCAGTGGAGTTCGAATATTCTAAGTTCCATCTGATTTTGAGCCCTATAATTTGCACATGACAGTACTGCTTGCTCAGTTAGGTGTACGTACGTGTCATTCATGAACAAATAATCGGGGCCGCTACAGCCCCACAGGGGGTTTAAAGCGGTAGCATGCTATCCTGACCAATAAGTTTTGCTCTTATCTAACAAGATCAATAGTGAAAAGATGATTGGCGTGCACTTTGGTAATGACCACGTAGTGTCGTTCTGTTGTTTCGATCACAAAACACATAGTAGGTATACTAGCTGTATTATTTCAACATGTCTTTTAAAGAAATTCCACTGATCGACCGGGTCGCTTTTTGTAACACCTGAAATGATTTGAATAAAAAGCTCGACTAGGTAAAGTGAGGTAAAACGAAATAGAAATATTCGACGTAGCTCGGTGCAATTTACAGTGTTTGCTAAAAAAAACTACCTGAGGGCTCCTGATGATCTTCCCTTTTCATCCTACGCTGATTCCGTTCTGCAAATTGACACTGAAAGACCGAAAGTGCCATAATGTTGCCTGTGTATTCTCACTACAGTAAAACCGCCGTACATGATAGTGGTATTTCATACGGGCTGGCCAGCCCCTATCATTTTTCCACTATCACGGTGGTTTTACTGTAGTGAAAATACACAAGCAACATTATGGCACTTTCGGTCTTTCAGTGTCAATTTGCGGAACGGATTCATCGTGGGGTGAAAAGGGAAGATCACCAGGAGCCCTCAGGTAGTTTTTTAGCCAACACTGTAAATTGCACCGAGCTACGTCGAATATTTCTATTTCGTTTTACCTCACTTTACCTAGTCGAGCTTTTTATTCAAATCATTTCAGGTGTTACAAAAAGCGACCGGGTCGATCAGTGGAATTTTTTTAAAAGACATGTTGAAATAATGCAGCTAGTATACCTACTATGTGTTTTGTGATTGAAACAACGGAACGAGAGTACGTGGTCATTACCAAAGTGCACGCCAATCATCTTTTCACTATTGATCTTGTTAGATAAGAGCAAAATTTATTGGTCAGGATAGCATGCTACCGCTTTAAACCCCCTGTGGGGCTGGAGCGGCCCCGATTAGTTGTTCATGAATGACACGTACGTACACCTAACTGAGCAAGCAGTAGTGTCATGTGCAAATTATAGGGCTCAAAATTAGATGGAACTTAGAAAATTCGAACTCCACTGACAGTATTCGACAACCACTGTTCAAGTTTAATGCCTAGCGAGTAGTGTGCGTCGGAAACTTTGAACCTTATGGAACTAAAGAATACACCGTTCTAGTGAGCGTACTTGTCCTTCAACATGAGGCCGCTCCTGCTGTCAACTTCATCGCGGCTGGATTGGTCACCGACATACATGACCACCGTGTTTCGGCTTTTACGGTATGGAATCCGGCAGAATAATCGTTGACAAAGCCGGCCTGATCGCACCACGGCAAGCTATTTAAGCTTAGGAGAATAAATTCCATACGAAAAAGGTGCCCTAGATCCAAGGCCACTTAAAGCACGTTGCGGAAAAACATAAACGGTTGTACTGTGTCAGCTGTAAAACACTTGTCGTATACCCTCCCATAACTTATAGTGTCATCCATAGTGTATGGTACCACTTTGTATTTCAAGACTGGGTTTAGCCAATGGAATTGTAACATTAAACATAAAACAACAGTGAGTCTTGTGAGGCATGTTTAAATATCGTGGCTTTTCGCTACGAGTGTTCCACACTGTCTAGGAAACCATTGTAAACAATCTCAAGACACTTGAACCCTTGTCATTTTAAAATGGCTGATTTTATTCTAGACGAAAGACCAAAATTGCCAGTACGTTTTTGTGAGTGTAACCCAATACCACTTGTTCACTACCAAGACTTGCTGCATTGTCCTACTCTTGTTTCTACCCCGCTGGTGCTGGTACGATAAGCATGTGATCCAAACATTGGGATTTTACGCCATACCAGGGTATCGGATACCGATGTAGCGTGCTATTGCCATTTCACCCCAATAGGACGATACTTCCGTCTAGCAATTGCCTGAATGTGTGGTGGCTGTTTAGTTGCAATGACTCTTCACACAAACCTGGTACCCAGCTTATCCCATCCTATTCTATTTCTGACTAATGTACCACGTGTTTTCCATGTGTCCTACGTCCCTGATATGTGATGAATGATGCATCAATCCTCAAGGACGCACCGTTCGGATTCGTGCATTCGGTCCTAAGGCGAATAGCCAAACTTGTTACCGAAGTCGCCAAGCAAGTTAGGCAGCGGTGCATATCGCATTTGCATGGTATGTGCGTCGTATACGTTAGCTACATGGAGACGCCTAGAAAACCCGCAGCCTATTCGGTAGCATATATGGCTGGTATAAGACTAATAAGTCGACCCAAACACTTCATTTCCCAGTCGTCAACCTTAACATGGATGGGTAAGAAATATGAGCAACCAAAATTTGTTGTCAATGAAACAAGCAACAGACTCACGATAGTGCCTCGACTGAGCGTTGCAAATTCTGAGGGGTAAGTTCAAACAGCTTATCTTCTCCATACTTAGAGAACGCTCCAGATCAGCTCATATCGTACCTGGACCCATGCTTGAGGTTTTCCATTAACACAAGTAATAACCAGATTTCCCAACACGATACAACTACATTAGATGGATGATAACTTTCACGGTAAAAGAAATGCAGCCATTTTTAATCGATACTAGTAGAAAGGATCAATATTGTCCTTCATGGTAGTGGAAAAGTTACATTTTCAAGCTCAAGACCAGCTGTCACTTGAAGGAAGTTGGTGGATATTCACAAGGTAGAAATTGATACGCAGTGTTACGGAAGAACTAAAACCTCAGATTCCGCACACGGATTATTCGTGTACTGTGTGGAAGACCTTTTTGGATAAGTGACTACCTGTTGTTGTGGATAAATGTCCTTGAAGCGTTGGGCCTGTAGCTCGTGCTGCAGCATAATTTCCTGAAATTCTTGGTGATGGTGACGATATGAAATGGAGGCTGCATTTTCACTGGATTTGGATGTGGGCTTCTGTGGGCATAGTTCACTGCATTCATCGCTGTCGGCAGAGGAATGCACAGCTTCCCTCTCAACAGATACTGGAGGTTCTGAAGCTCGTCTGTCCATGAGAGCAAATGAGTTTTTCTCCTTGTCGGATAAGCGGAACGAAGCTCGTCTGTTAATATAGACACAAAGTAACTTTCCAGAAGTGCTTTCTTCACTGGAACGATTAAAGTGTGAACGAGTGCCATCTGAGTCGCACAAATCTCCGTGGCTGTTTGACACATGAACATACACCGCTTTATCCTCCGCTTCCGATTCCCTGTGGTAAAAGTAGTTGAAATTTGATACAATAACAGGAACTGGTAGAGCTATGGTTAAGACACCCGCAATAGCACACATAGATCCCACGACCTTTCCCCACATCGTAACCGGTCTCATATCACCGTAACCAACGGTGGTCATGGTCACTACGGCCCACCAGAATGCATCGATGATGCTAGGGAATTGTTCATCTGCAGCATCCACTTCAGCGAAGTAAACAGCAGCAGAAAAAAGCACGACACACACAAAGAGAAAGAAGCACAACAGTCCCAACTCCCGAAAGCTGGCTCGCAGCGTTCTTCCAAGAACCTGAAGTCCCTTTGAGTGTCGGGATAGCTTAAAAATTCGAAATACTCGAACTAAGCGAATCACTCTTAAAATAGAAAGTGACATTGCTTGATTTTGTGTTTTCGTAGTTTCCGCAAAAAGCGTACCAACGGTGATGGCGTAAGGGATGATGGACACTATGTCGATCAAGTTCATTATCTGTTTAAAAAAATACAGCTTCTGAGGACAAGATGCAAAACGAATCAGTAGTTCTAGGGTATACCAAATGATACAAAGCGTTTCTAGGACAAAAAATGTTCCAGTGGTTTGAGGGGTATCCACTGGCATGATTACTGGTAGCGGTTCATCATCCGGTCGCAGGATCTCATAATGACGGAAATGAGGAAGGGTTTCTACACAGAAGACGACAATTGATATGAGAACGACAGTGATTGAAATAATAGCCACGCAACGGGCTGCGGCGGAGCTTTCAGGGTATTCGAACAGCAACCACACTTTACGTTGGAAATTGTTCTTCGGTAGTATGTGTATTTCGTCCTTAATAAATCCCTCATCCTCTCGGTACCGTTCAAACGCTTCTTCGCCAAGATCATAAAATTTGATTTCTTCCGTAAATACATCAATCGGTACGTTTACCGGTCTTCTTAGCCGACCGCCACTTTGGTAAAAATAAAGGATTGCATCGAAGCTTGGTCGGTTGCGGTCAAAAAAGTACTCATTGCGCAACGCATCGTAGTAGCGGTTCCGACGTAAAGGACATCCCAGAAGAGTATTTGGAAATCGATTTAAAGTTGCCTTCTGTGTTTCATAACGCAGCCCACTAACGTTGATCACAATCCGCTGATCCGACATTTTCGATTCCGTTGTGTCATAAAAGGCACAGCTTTCAAAGGAATTTGTCATATATTTACACATGACTGACACGATGGAGTATTGCAAAGGTGGCTCGGAGACAATAAATGCAAAGTATTATGGTGATCAGTTGTGAATCTTACATCAAGTGATTCCTTTAAGATGATTACCCTAGAAGGGGTGCAGAATCTGATTTACACATGAAAATATCGAAGCGTCAGCCCCACCGTGTACGAATCGGTACTAGACGAAATCTAGAGTTTGATTGGATGGTGCATGGCTACATGCCATTGCCCAAATCGGCGTGATAATCCAGACAATGGGAATAGGGAACAAAAGCTGAGGTAACTGTGACGAAAATGTAGTAAATGGTCTTAGGTAAGTAGCTTATTACTAACTATAAAAAATAAAACAATTTTATTTATATACTGTTCACTCACAACAATGCTATAAGGCAGTTTTGTTTAAATGAGCTACATGCAGGTAAATGGACACATGCCGCGCTCCGCTTGATCAGATCGGATGACGCAGTTTTTACCGCCCAATTTGCTCGCGCTTTTCGCGCCGAGGGACCCAATACCGTTTCTCCCTCCAATTGAAAAACATGCCCATCACCGGAAACTGCCATATACTGGCGTTGCCCAGTTCTTGGGTGAATTTGAGGTAAACTTTTAACATTGTTTTGTCGCTGAATGTAACTCACGTATTTTCACCGGTCCCGGCTTGCATTTCTTTTTAATTTCTTTGCCATTTTATTTTATCCATAAGTAAACTCGCTAAGCCACTGCACAGACTATCTAGGTGTTTTGCCCGGTAGCGACGATTGACTTCATTGTGTTGTGGAGAGCAGAAACCCCATCACCTTCAGTTCAGCGCAAGGAGCACGTGTGCCGTCGCGACCCAGTAGTGCTCACAGAACCGGAGCAGTCACAGTAAGACAGTACGGTTCTGGTGTCTTACGTAGGTGAGTGTCCAAAAGCCGTTTGAAATTTTCCTCGGTTGGTGCATCGACCACAGTCCCCGGTTGACGGTTCCAGTCACTCACTACGTAAGTTAAAAGCGTCTGCGGTGCGACCTCGATTTAAGTAACTAGCGGTAGCCTCGAACCAACTGGGTTGCACCGGAAGAGCTGTTGTAGCATTTCTTACTATGCGCTGCGTAAAGATGAGGTCTCCAAAACTTTATTTCATGGAGAACGGATTCATAGGCTGAAGCCGAAGGGAGCACGGGATATCACGAAGCCCGGGAACGGATTTAGAGCCACGCCTCTGGACCTTTTTGATTAAGGCACATTCAAGCTTTGTGAGTAAGAATTCAGCTGCCCGACCATGCCCTAGGATCGGTCACACTTGAGAAGTGAACAGAAGCCTGAAGATCTGCGGTTTCATTCGAGAGAAGAATCTTATGGCGCAACACATTTTGTTTGCAGCGGCGACTTCAGTGTATCCTGGGTGGTTTTCAGATCGTGCTATTGTTACGCCTAGATCTTTCTCTTGAGCGGCGTGCTTGAGAAGGAACCCCCCAAATATGGTAAGTTCCAATTGGCTTAGAGGTCCCAATCGGTAGGGTGCAGCATTTTTCGTAATTTATTAGTAGTCCCCACTCGATGGACTAGTTGTAGTCGATCAGCTGTCAATGCCAGACGCTCAAGACCAAACCTAAGGTCGTCCTCATAGATCCCGCATTCGGTGCTGCAGAAAGATAATTGATGTACAGCACGAACAGTCCGAGACCAGAGACAGATCCCTGTGATACACCGCTGGTCATGAGCAATGACTTGAAAAACGTTTCGTTCACTCACTTGCATAGTCCGACCTTCAAAGAAGTCGGCAATCCACGAGTGGAGGCTGCCACTTGCGCCTATGTCCATAAGCTTCCAAAGAAGTCGCTGGTGTGGCATTTTATCGACCGTTTTTCTAAAATCCACGAAAACCATATCCATGCGTCGTGTCGCATCAGTTGACGTGGCCCGCTTTTTCCTCGTCACTGGCAGCTTGGTGCAGCATGAACGATGTTATTTTCGTCGCAGTACTTCTGTAGGACGCATTTGATGATCTTTTCTTTGGCCTTGCAGACAATGGTTGTCAAGCAGATTAGGTGATATTTCACAGGCTCATGGCGGTTTCCCCCTTTGTAATTAATTATTGCGATCCCACTCGTTTGATAAAAAACCAACCTTCGGAGACCTGAAACACTTGGCAGATGGGTGATGTAACATAGTCATCTACTCATCATCAACAGTACATCAGCCATTTGAACTGATGCTTCGCTGCCATACAACTACGAGGACCTATGAAATAAAGAATAAGAAGAGGGAATTACCCGAAAACCTTAATGCCCTAAGCAAACATTCGGTGACAAGGCGCTTATACCTTGTGTCAACAACATACCGTCACAAACAGCTGGCTATCGTACAAAGGCGGCATCGGCGAGACAGCTTCCTTGCGGCTTTCACTACCCCGCGTCATAATCAGCCATTACCCGCAGATAACTCAGCACCAAACACACATTAAACAGGCAATCCAATTAGAAGACGGCAGCAGACGTGCCACTGGTGTCGGTTGCGAGCCATGTCCTGTAAAGTCTCGAGCCAAGCACAAAGCGAGTCACGTGGACTCCAGCCCGGAAGGCGAGACGGACCAACGGCACCCAGTTTGGTAGTCAGTGACTTCATTTCCCGCTGCCAAGTCAAGTTCTGTCCACCTCGAGCCTTGCGCCACCCTACACCTGGCAGACTAAACAAGGCCCTCCTAGGTAAGCGGTGACCAGGCATACGTAGCACGTGCCCGAGCCAACGCAACTTATTCAGTGCTACCTGTTGCTTTAACGAGCTAGCATGATTATCACTACCTAGTACTCGCCTACGCCTATCATCGTTGCAGACACGCTGGTGCCATCCGACACTAGCAATGCTTCGCAGACAACGATGATCAAAGACTTGAAGGCGCCTCAGATCTTCAGACCGAAGCGGCCAAGTCTCACTACCATAGAGCAGAACGGCCCTCACTGTGGCCTTGTATACACGGCCTTTCAGGCGAAGGGAAACTCCCTTCTGTCGCCAAAGATGCCGCAGATTCAAGAAGGTAGCTCTGGCTTTTGCAATGCGTGAGCTGACGTCAGTTTCTATGCGCCCATCATTGCTGATGCAGCTGCCAAGATAAGTGAAATGATCAACCACCTCGAGTTCCTCGTTAGCAAGCGTCAAGGGGTCATCAAGTGGCTGGTGGTCCTGCAGCAACACTTTGCACTTTGAAGGTGCGAAGTGCATACCAAATATTGGGACCACTCTGGACAGGCTATTCAGGGTTGATTGTGTCTTCGCAACATTGTCGAAAAGCAAGACGATATCGTCCGCATAATCTAGATCAACTAACCGTTCACCGGGCAGCACTTCAACGCCCACATCGTGAGATTCCGCAAGGGAACACTCCATGATAGAATCCACGACGAAATTGAACAAAAATTGGTGAAATCAGGCAACCCTGTCGAACGTCACTTGTAGTCGAAAAGCTATCCGATAGGGCACCGTAGACCCTGACGCGGCCTCTAGTGTTCGAGTATAGAGCACGAAGGATGTTCACATATTTCGTGGGAACACCTTTCCGCGCAAGTATTTCGAACAGAATCGATCGATCGACTGAATCGAACGCACTCTTGAAATCGAGGAACACAGCTATTGTCGGTCTGCGGTATGCGTGGCGCTGCCCTAGCACCTGTCGCAAAGTGAATATATGGTCTATACAGCCACGTCCTGCGCGAAAACCGGCCTGCTCTTCTCTAATCCGAGATTCCCGTTCTGCAGTGAGGCGACGAACGATAATCGAGGCCAGTAATTTTGTCACAACTGGCGTTAGGCTTATGCCCCTGTGGTTCGCACAGTCTGTGCGACTGCCCTTCTTGTATATTGCCACTATAATCGATTCGCTCCAATTAACCGGGACACTTCCAGATACATTCGAATAGGGAGGTTATTGCTTTGCAGAGGACCTCACCTCCATCCTTAAATAGTGCAGGTGGTAGGGAATCCGGGCCAGCGGCACGAAAACGATTGAGGGCTGTGATCGTCTTTCGGACCTCGGCCTCTGACGGAAGCTCTAAACTAACCGTCCATGGCTCGTCCTGCATCACCTGAGTAGGAAGAGGTCCGGGAGCAGGGGGCCAGCTGAACTGATCTTGAAAGTGTTTCGCCCAACGAGCCATACGGCGCTCCTTATTGTGTATCAGCGCACCCGCGCTGTCTCTGATTGTCTCACTGACGCCTGGTTTTCTGGGACCAGTGGTGCGTATTAGCTGGAAGAGCTTCCGGTAATTGCCTACTGCTCCTGCCTCCTCCATTTCTTGAGTTCTACTGGTCCACTAGGCTTCCTTGTCAGCACGTAGGCTCCGCTTTAGTTCACGCCTACTAGCCCGTCTGGTCACATTGTGCTCAGAACCAGGCGGAATGTTTCCTCTAAATGTCAATAGGTTCACCGACCTCTCGGATATCCAGTGACTGGTGCGATGACGACTGATAGTGCCACAAGCAGATGCTCCTGCGTCGTGCATGGCGGTCGAGATCCTATTCCACTGAAGTTCAGTGTCATTAGGACAAGACAGCGGATGTTCGATACGCTGCGCTTCTTGATAGGCTTGCCTGACAGAGGGCTGGGACAATTTCTCCGATGCTAAACGTAGGGGACACTAGGTGCGCCTCCCGGTAAAGTTCATGGAAAAACGACAGCGTACCAAGGCATGATCAGAGTCGACGCAGGTACTCCAGTACGAGCGGCAATCTAGGATGGAACCACGCCATCTGTAACTTATGGCTATGTGGTCAATTTGGGTCCATCGCTGACCAGCTACAGGTGGATGCCAAGTGGCACTTCGGCGCCCACAGTGTCTAAAAGCAGTGCTACTAAGAAACAACTGGTGCTCGGCACACAGTTGCCGCAGACGCTCACCGTTGTCAGTCCGTTCGGAGTTAAGTCCATAATTACCACCCAGCTGAGCTTCTGAAGAGCTCAGACGCCCTACTTGTGCGTTCATATCCCCTGCAAGTACTATAATATCTGAACTAGTAGCACTGCGTAGCAGCGTGTTCAGTTCGTGATAGAAAGTGTCCTTGAGTGCATTAGAACTGCAGTCGGTGGGAGCATAAGCGGAAATCACAAACAAACAGCGTTTTGTACTGCTTCGTGAATCACCCTTGGATGATGTCGTCAAACGGGCTGCACATAAACGGCTGTTCACCGGAATCCAATCAACCATCGATGGCTCAGCCTTGGAGCTTAGAATGATACCTACACCAGCTTGACCCATGAGTGCTGCATCGGCGTCTCCGGATGCATGCAACCAATAACGAGCAGATAA